CTATACCTAAAATGCTAAGTGATCTAAAAACTTCGTCCAGATCGACATCACCATTTAAGAATTGGCCATAGTTGTTATTCTCAATGTCAAGCGTATTATAAAACTTATTAATAATGCAATTATCAAAAGATGCTTGACGTCCTCGAACCAACATTTGCCCATCCACATGTTCAACGACGTTGGCATAAAATTCATTAACAACTGGCATTACTGCTACCTCTGGTTAAACACAAAATTTATCCCACTGTCGACATCAATAACATTGTGGATGTCAGGATAAAGTGCTCTCTGAACATCAATGCCACATTCTAGTATTAGGAATTTTTTTTAAAAGGACTAAGCGTGGTGCTTCTTAGCTTCGAGCGAAACAAACTTACTGTGGTCAAAACTGCTTCCACTTCCACTAGCATGTGACCTTTTCTTTGGTGCCATAACGATTATCTTAAGTCACCTCACATAGTCTCCATTTGCAACAAAATCTAGAATACAAGATCTAACTCTTGGCTTATAAGTACATAAAGTCAATGTTAAAGGCAACAAAGTCAAGACAGAACTAACAACAAGAAAAATCTTCATATAAAATTTAATATAGCTAGTAGCTTTTTTTGCGGTTCGGCTTCTCTTCTCAAACACAAATGGACCATGATTGTATGTGTATATAGTAGAATTCAAGAACTTTGATAATTCCAATTACAACATCACAAGCTTTAAATTAAATTAAAGTTCAACTAAGAGGTTAAAATTCATGAAATCTAAAAAATTAGTGTGAATGAGTTGAAAAAAACAAGAGGTGGCCGAAGAATTTGTCATAAACATTTTGATTTTTGGTTATTTAATTGGGCCTTTGCTTTGACGTTTGTCATTACGTATTAAGTCAAGTCAAACCTACAATTCTAAAATTGTACTTAGAATTAAAGCATAACAGGTCTTCAACTACATTTCATTTTTCTGACCACAAAAAGGAATAAATTTAAAAGAAAGAACAAAATGAAGAAAGACACTAGTGATGGCATAAGAAAAAAGATTGGGACGACCCTACAATTCTTAGTCAAGTTTCTACTTACAAAGTAGTATAAATGAAGTGAACATATATTATAATCGATTAATAGTCGGTGCAAATATATGTTTACATATGTTGGACAAGCAGTTATAATGAGTAAACATTTGGGCCTTCTGCTGCAAATGGTGCGGTCGAATTGGGTATCACCTAGGTCTATTTGTTCTCTTTTTACCTCCCTAAAAGATATGATGCATGCAGATGTGTATTAACAAAATTGTTTGGAAGATATTTTTAAAATCTTTGTTCATGTTCACAAGTATAAATCATTTTACTAATTAAGTATAAACATTTTTTGAGTTTTTCAACTTGGAAAAAATTGAAGATTATGTTTTTTAAAAAAGTGATTACAACTGTGTATTGTCACCGTTTTCCTCTTTTCTATCTCTTCGTTCTCTTGCTTATTCTATTTCACCTATGTCCTACATCACAAGCATGTTGATCATTAGAATCATTAGATCAGTTTTCTCTCTTCTAATTTTCAACTCCCTTAGCTTTCCACATTTCCTCTTTTAAATCCTTCCTACCAAACATGTAATCTTAAAGACCAGCAGCATATTATGAGTTTATATATAGGAAGACCTCATATAGAATTAATATCAAATGCATTTAATAACTCAAATAGAACATATATTGATTCCAAATGATTGTTTAACTCAGATAGAACACATATGAACTCTAACCATTAAACAACCAATATAACCCTCACTTATTAAAGATGGTAAGACAAAGGATAACAACCAAACTCCTGCACCTACAGCATTCCAACAGTGACCACAATGACCAAAAAGTAGTCGTGCATGTTTGTAAAAGATTCGACGATGAGCTTCATGCTATATTGAATTTTGATAGTTCAACAACATCATATACATCTTGTTTCAAGATTAAAAGGGAGTATAAACTAGGCATTTGAAATATCATTTCTAGATCGGTAGTGCTCACATGCATTTTACTAATTGCTTTATATTGGTCAAATTATAATTATAGAGTTTTGTACTAATAACTTATTCAAGCATTAATTTCTTTTCCAGGGTAAAATTTATACTACTTTCATTATGATATATATAGTAAATCTATAGCAGAAATCATGAAGTTTAAACAAATGTATGGTAATTGAACAATAGAGTGAATTAAATATATTTTAATAGATTATTACGTCATGTGCAGATGTGCATGCAATGAATCTTTACTGTGTTGGTATAATTGGAATCCATGTGGATGTATGGGTTGAGAATTTCATGTTGAGATGAGATACAAAACAATGGAAAATAAGTTAATGTGATTTCAGGATAAGTTAGAAACAAATAAGTGAGGATGTCAGGGATTCAGCTTTCAAGACCTTCCTTATCTTGTTTTTGTGGCTTTGCAAACCCTCTGCTAACCAATGGCAGAAAATGAGTTGAGGTTCCTTGAAAAGTGAGTTTTGGATTTGGGTGCTGCTAGTATATATTTTGGCGTTTAACCAAAAAGTTGAAGAGAAGCTGAACCACTAGATCCAGCTAATTATGGTCACTATTATGATCATAAATCTTCTTGAGCATAGCTACTTAGTGACCAAACTAATTATGGTCAGAATTTACCTGCTTTTACATGGCTCCAAAGAGTTGTAAGCCAAAGAAAAAGAATATAACTGCAAAAAAAGATCTTAACCAAACTATCAATCCATTTCTCCCCCATGTTTCCATCTGCCACTTTAAACCATATACGTACCTAATCTAAATCCATGACGGACGCCACCACCTACATAAACCGTCAATGATAAAGCCAAGAGTTTCCTATGAGCACATCTTTGATTGAAACGTGGCCCACGCTTTTATCCTTCCGAGAGCCTGTGATGCCATCACTCCGCCTTTGATACGTGTTACCATTTCTCCCTTCTAGAGCCACTGTAACAGAGACTCTTCTCCCATCAATCCACTCACCATTTCCAATTGCCACAGCTCTTTTCAGTCCTTCTTCAACTCCAAACCTTAGAAAAGCGAAGTTAGCACCGTCCCAATTGGGATTCCTTGAGACGAAAATGTCCAAAACCTTGCCATAGTCGTTGAAAATTGCCTTCAAAGCTCCCCATGGGACCCTTAGACTTAGATTCTAGGCAAATACGAAGAACAGACTTTCCCTCCACTTATCCATGTTGTTCCTGATCCGAAAGCTCCATGTCTTGTCAGTATATATACCATCGTTAGCCCCTCCTGCCCTCTTGCCACCTCCACTGTGTTTCGCTGTTTTCCTGAATTTTTTAATCATGATGCTCGAGTTTTTCTTAATTCATTTGGTGTCATTCAACATCATAGTTGTGTCGATACATCATGTAATAAATAAATAAAATATGATTATGTCAACATTTGATTTTTTATATCTTAATATATGCTAATGTTGACATAATCATATTTTATTTATTACATGATTCTAATAGCGAAATTAAATTCATATTGAGAAAATGTAATATATTAAAAATAATTATTGATAAGGTACGTAATTTATATAATAAAATTATTAAAATAAAATGAATATTTTTTGAAAGTCAAAATAAAATGAATATTAATTACCCTTATTAAAAAAAATTTTAGTTTTAATGATGAAATTTTCTAAATTATCTTAAATTTCAATTACTACTTTTTTATCTTATGCTTTTATAATTATTTAGAATTAATCCACTTTGTGAAAATAATTTTAGAATCCTCCAATAATTTTGGAAAGTAATTATTAACTTTATTCAATTAATTGTTGTTTTTATTATTTATCAAAAGACTTTTGTATTTTATAATTTTCTTTAAATATTAATAAATCGTGTGGTAAATCTATCAATTCTGAACTCTTATCATTTTCAAAACATCATTTTCATTGGAGCTGCCACGTTAATGATGTTGTTTTCTTTCTTTCTTTTTTTATTGACAGCGTGCCTCTCTTTTAAACAAAACCAAAGCTTTGAAACCCCTTTGTTAAAGACTGCTTATCATTAATAAAAATCTAAAACTCTTAATTCAAAAATTTGCCTGACTCATGAGTTAAAATATTAAAAACATGTACAATAGTTTAACTAACAAGTAATTAAATGAGGAAGCCTAAAAGTATGATGTAATAGATTTCAGTGCCGTTAATTGAGCGCTAACCCCTTCGATGCTGGGACAGATGCCGTGTATAAATCAATGAGGCAGGAAAGTGAGGCGCGTGAATATAACCCCCTTCGCAACTTAAATTGCTTTTGCAGATTGAAAGATACCAATACCAATACTTTGTTTTTAAAGGATCGAGTATTTAATAGATTTACGTAGATAATTAATGGCACGTTGATATAGAAGATTGGTAACCACACGTTTTAAATGTCATAATAAGCAAAGACAATTTAATAACTACAAAGGTTTAAAGTAAAATATTTAAATGATGTCTTTTTATTGAAATTAAGAAAAAAAAATTTTTAATTTTTGAATAATCAAATTCATATTTTCAATTTGACATATTCGAATATTTATTATGGGGTACAAAAAATATTTAATTATTTTATTTTTCTGAAATAGTTAATATAAAATCAAAAATTAAAATTTTTAATTCAAATAAATTAACTATCATATAAAATAAAGATAATATAATAATATAATATAAACTCTAAATTAAAGTAAAAAAATCTACAAAGATTAAAACAATAGTACTTAATTATTAAATGTTTATTGTAAATCATAAATAAAGCTCATAGTTTTATAAAAATAATAACATAACAGACCCTTTTTTTTTAAGTGAAGTTAAAGAAAGAAATATTTAAGAATAGAATTTATAAATTGAAAAAAAAAGTTGAGAAGTGATAAAAATTGAAATTTATTAGATATATAATTAAAAAAGTGAGAGAATATGTCATTTTATTAATTATTTTTTATTTTTATATATTTTTAATAAGAAATGAGATAATTTGTTCAAAATTAATAGAGATATAAAAGTGGCAGAAAATAAATATATATTAAGGTACGCCAAAGATAGAGCAGACTGTATCTAATTGTAGAAAACTCTTACAATCTTTAACTAATTGTAGAAAACTTATACATTCTTTGATGATTGTTGGAAAGGACAGATATCTCCCCAAAAAACTGCGCGAGTTTTATCTTGAACTCCCGCCGCCTAGCATCCCTCGTCCCTTTCAGTTCAGTTGTTCATCTTATTAGGCTTTCTCATGCTCCAAGCATTAAGATCTACAGTGATTGTCTCAGTCCCATTGTTGAATACAAACAAGTGAGCATCGCCAAAGACTGCTAGCGTTGGATAAACTCTTGATGTGACGCAAGTTTTTCCACCAGCCCCAAAACTCTCCACAACAGAGTGATCAATCTGCAGAGAAAGAAAAGGGAGAGAGTGAGAGAAAGAAAGAAATTCCGGAGAAGTTTAGCAATAAACCCAAATTATTAAAGGGAATGTACCAAACTCCTAAGAGAAAGCTGCTTCTTCTCAGATAAATCCACATCCACAAATCCAGCAAATGAGGGTTTGTATAGCCCAATGTTCCTCAAGGAAGAACTGCCACAATGCAATCAATTCAGAAGTTTGACATGAGAAAAAGGAACTAATATTGATTTGGAGAGAAGTCAGGAAAACAAACCTCCTAGCATCAGAGCACAAGAGAACAACATGCTTGTATTGGGCTTTAAATACCCTGAAAAAAACTGGGGTATACTCTTCTAGCTTTTGTGAAGCTAATGTTAATAGCCCAAATGGTCCAACTCCACCTTGAACACTTGAGCCCTTTCGGCTACAGAGATCCTGCGCATTGGTCCAGCTAGGATCAAATGGCTCAGCTTTGTCTAAGTTAGGTATGGAGAAGGTAACATCAACATCTGCCTGCAGGGAGCATCATCAATAACCAAGAGAGTTGGGGAGTTACGTTTGAAATTTGTTTAGCTCCAATCAAGTAAAGGTTTGTTTGGTTCCAATGAACAAACCTGAGCAGCAGTTATTTCTTCGACTTCAATACGATCTCCCAATTTGAGCTTTTGCTCGCTTAATCGAACATTCTGGGACCTAAGAGTCTCTATTTCTTCAACAGGCCATTGCAGCAATTGCTTCCTATTAGGATCAAGCCACACCTTCCTTGGAATTGTCTAAGACAACGCACACGAAAATTACTCACAAGTTTCAAATCAATAACTAAAGATTATGTCTTCAAATCAATTAACATTACCTGAATGCCAGCCCATCCTTTACTGACATCATCTTGAGGGGTATCTGACTCATTGGCCCAACCCCATAGGATCCTCCTGTCCCTGACAGGGTCAAAAAATGTCTTTGAAGCATAGAAGTTCCCATAGTCATATCTAAGTCCATCCCAACCGTCAATGGAGTCCATGTCAACCACATATTTATCCCTGCTCGGGAAATATTCACCTAAAGTGTAGTACTCGAACCTAGTAGCATCTAAGCTCACCTTCAACACGTGCTTAACATTAGGGCCAAAGGCAGATGCGTTCTGCCCAGCTTCACCGAACAATGCCACAGGATAAAAATCTGGGCATTCCCACATACCTGTATTTGGCACAGAATGTAAAGGGTGCTGAGCCTTGGTCCATTTCTTGAAATCCCTACTCCTGTACAAATGAGCAATCCCTCTTTGGTTTCTTCTGCCACCGACCAACATTCTCCAGTGCCCGTCAATCTTCCAAGCAGTGGTTGGGTCACGGAAGGCGGTCTTGTTCATTTTAAAGCCGGCAACCGCGATCGGATTGTCAGCGGGCTTGGTCCATTGACGCAGATATGGATCGGAAGAATTCGATGGAATAGCATAGTTTTGGATTTGCTTTCCTTGGGGATCAATTCCTGTGTAAAAAATTACGGGCTTATTGCCTGGAAGGACGGTGGCTGATCCAGACCAACACCCTTTTATGTCAAAGGGCTTTGAAGGATAGATTGCGGGCTCAAGTGCTTCCCAGTTGATCAGATCTTTGGATACTGAATGGGCCCAAACAATGTTGCCCCAAACTGCACCCTTGGGGTTGTATTGGTAGAATAAATGGTAAATTCCCTTGTAGTACATTGGACCTGTACGAGAATCACAAGGAAAAGTACCAACGACTCAGGCATCGTTATTAAAGAAACATAGCCAAAATTTGCAGTATTCTGTCGGAAAACTTACCGTTTGGATCTGTTGTCAGTACGTTCATCGGAAAAAAGGACAAACAGAAAGAAGAGTGACAAGTTAGTATAAATATATTAAGCTCAGAGTTTTGCAATAATTATTCAGTAAAAGTTCTAGGACTAAAAACTAGGGACACATCAGGTGATTATATATCTACAAGACTACAACTATTAGAATTACAAGTATATATAATAAATAAAATCTACATTCTTTCTTAGTTGCCGTAATAATATTCTCAAATTCGCTCTTATTATGAATTGGTGATTTAATACAGAATTTGTCGGAGAAATTCAAAGATCAATTTATGCAGATGAACAAATTGAGTGTTCAATGACCAATGCCAAATCTAGAAATATTATTATATATATGATTCGAACTGTATAATAGTTAATATGCATTCATTGATACTTGGTTATGATTAGGGTGTAAAGTTTCTTGAACGGCGCATCATCAGTACCTAAAATTTAAGATGCATTATCAGTACCAAAGACGCCTATGCTTTTGACAATTAAAACAATTTTACCTGGTTAGTCAAGAGCATATATACTTTAAATGCCATCTATTATAGATAAATTTTAAGAACAAAAACAACAATTAACCAAAAGAAAAGAAAACGCACCATTGATCCAGTTCCTAGGAGGCTGGAAGTGATAGCCAGTTCTATGAAGCTGCTTGACTTTAACTGCAGTTTTAGATTTCAACCCTTGATAAACCTTGTGAGATGCTTCAACCCCATTGTTATGGTTGCTTAACACACAAAAATAACAGAAAAATAAATAAATCAATAAGAATTTTGAAACCTCCATTGATTGAAGTCAAAAACCCTCTAAGACCTAGCACAAGGATAATAAGTCTTATATATATATATATATATATATATTGAATATAAGATTGGAAGTCAGTTGGTTAACGCATGAGCTGAGAGAAGATTCTCAAGTTGCAGTACTAATTATATGGGATTCAAAAAAATAGGATAAGCATATATAGGATAGAAAGAGATTTAGTTTTAAACAAATAATAACAGATTTGTTAATGCTTTTAACTGCAATATTTTAAGTATCTAGTATTTAGAATTCTTCTTAAGCATAACCTTTTTTTTTTCCGAGTACAAGTGGTTAACGAGTTTAATCATTTAAAGCCAATTGAGTTCATATCAAAACAGTAAATATCCATTTATATATATATATATATATAAAGTAAAATTAGGGATATAAATTTTATTTCAATTAAGTTATTTTAATGTTATTTTTTTATTATTAAATAGAGGTTTTACTTAAGGTAAGCTATTTTATTTGGAAAAATGAGAAGATTCAAATACAATTCTTTGAACAATATAATATATATATTATTATTAAATCAAATGAAAATACAAAAAATTAAAAACTTGAACAGATAGTAATTAGTTTAATAAAATAGAAGGCTATGAAAATTGAGTCCATGCATGTCCCACATATGAAAAAATAAAAAATTTTTAAATAATTTTGAAGTTTTTTATTTAAACAATATAACTATGAAATTGAGGGAGTTTAATTGTGAGTTCAAAAAATTATGCAAATACAATGCCAAAGAGTTGGAAAAACCATTCACAGAAGTAGAAGTTTGGCAGATAATCACCCTATGGGAATAAGGTTTCGAGTTTACAAGATTGCACGATTTTAATCTTAATTTTTTTAAATAACAGTAAAAAATAGAAAACAATGAATGATGATGTTATAAATTTTGTCAATATTGTTAAACATTTAACGAAATTTTAATTTATCTACTCTTTTAATACATTTTATTTTAAATTTTTTGTCTTTTATTATATAAATAAGTAAACGAATTTTGAAACCGCCAAATAAACCTAGAAACAAATTAAGAGAAGAATAAAAGTATATGTATATTGGAGATATTGGAAAGTTCGATTTATTAATGCATAAACTGAGGAAGAAGGTTTCTAAGTTGCAAGATAACAAGTTAATTTCAAACACATAATATCAGATTTGGTAAATTTATTCATTTAAAGTCAGTAGAGTTTTATATATCACAATAGTAAATATTCATTTATACAATAGAGATATATATAAAGTGAAATTAAGGGACTAAAATTTATTTCAATTAAGTTATTTGATTGTTATTAAATAGAGCTTTTACTAATTAATAGAATATCTATTTGAATAAAGTTAAGAGTTTTTACTAAAACAAATTTAGGAAAAAATAAGGTAAGCTTTTTTTATTTAGAAAAATAAAAAATTGAACTAAATTTTATTTATATATATATATATATGCTTATCATTAACAGCAAATGAAAGGTAAAAAATTAAAAACTTGAGCAGATATTAATTAGTTTAATAAATAGAAGGTTTTGAAAATTGAGTCATGCATTGCTATACATATGAAAAAAAAAAACCTTTTAGATCATTTTGAAGCTTTTTATGTAAAAAATACAACTATGAAATTGAGGGAAGCTTTTTATATAAAAAATAAAACTATGAAATTGAGAGAGTTTAATGGAGAGTTCAAAAAGTTATCAAGCACAATACTCTTGAGTGGGAAAACCGTGAGAGATAATCACTGTATGTGATAGGTATAAAAGGTCTAAGTCTGCACAATTTTAATTTTAATTTTTTAAGGAACAGTAAAAACAGTATAATATTATGAATTTTGTAAATGTTATCAACTAAACATCTAGTGGATTTTAATTTCTTTATATCTTTAATATATTAATGATCATATATATTAATTAATTATATTCGAAACAGGTGACTCGTAATTTTATTGATGAAAGTTCATCCACCTTAATTAACATTATAACTCTGAACATTTTTAACAGGAAACCAGTTACAAGAAGATAACTAAGCAGTCATATTAACACAATCCATCTCTTTCAGGTGTTCATCCGAGGTTTCCTCATGCTCCAGGCATTGAGATTCTCTACATTGATAGTCTCAGTCCCATGATTGAATGCATACAAGTGAGCATTGTCAAGCACTGCTAACGTAGGATAAACCCTGGATGTGATGCATGTTTTCCCTCCAGCTCCAAAACTTTCCACAACTGAATGATCAATCTGCCAAAAAAAAATTATGATCATTACAAATAAGGTTTAGAAAATGAGTGTAGTATTAAAATGCTTCCAAATTACTGATTAAAGGGCATACCAGAGTCCTTAGAGAAAGCTTCTTATCCGCCAAATCTACATCCACAAAGCCAGCAAATGATGGTTTATATAGCCCATCCTTCAAGGAGGAACTGCAAAAGGTAACCAAGTTAGAAATTTGATGACATGAGGATGAAGGACTTAATAATGATTGTTTCTAGAGAAAGTTACAACATATCACCTCCTTGCATCAGAGCATAAGAGAACCACATGCTTCTTTGACGCTTGGAATACCCTGAAGAAGACAGGAGTATACTCTTCTAGGTTTTTGGAAGCTAATGTCAAGAGTCCAAATGGACCAACTTCACCTTTAACTTTTGATCCCTTTCTGGCACAGAGCTCTTGCGCATCTGTCCAACTGTGATCAAATGGCTCAGCTTTGTCCAGACTAGGGATGTGGAAGATAACATCAACATCAGCCTGTGAAGAGTAATATCATAACAAAATTAGTGGGGTTGTCACTTGTAAAAGGTGTTTAAAATAATCATATCTTCAGCTCAAGTAATGCAATTCTGAAGTGTTGAAGATTAATTAGGAGCAAACCTGGGCAGCAGTTATTCCTTTGACTTCAATATGTTCGCCCGTTTTAAGCTGTCGATGGCTCCATTTGACAGTTTTCCCTCTTAAGGTCTCCAACTCTTCAATAGGCCATTGCATCAATTGCCTTTGATTAGGATCAAGCCACACCGTTCTTGGAATTGCCTGGCGTTATATCATTAATAAAATAGTTAAAACAAATTGCATTCACTACTAGTTAAATATATATCGATGATCGAGTTATCGGTATATCAACTGATTGTATAATCAATACCTGAAGTCCAGCCCATCCTTTTTTAACATCATCTTCAGTAGTGTCAGATTCATTAACCCAACCCCACAAAATCCTCCTCTTTTTCGCAGGATCGAAAAATGTCTTTGAAGCGTAGAAATTTCCATAATCATATCTAAGGCCAGCCCAACCATCAACTGATGTATTATCAGGCACATATCTATCTTTATCACTTAAATACGTACCAACTGTATAATAGTCGTATCTGGTAACATCCAAGCTCACCTTCAACACATGCTTAACATGTTTTCCCACGACCGATAGGTCCAAACCTTCTTTACCAGACAATAAAACTGGATAAAAATCAGGGCATTCCCACATTCCTGTATGGGGTGCAGAATGCAAAGGGTGTTTAGCCTTAGTCCAGTAAATGAAGTCTCTACTTCTATATAGATAGGCCACCCCTCTATGGCTCCTTTTGCTTCCCACCAACATTCTCCAGTGCCCATTTAACCACCAGGCAGTGGTTGGGTCGCGGAAGGCACTGGCGTTCACGCCCTGCTCAGGATCAACCACGGGGTTGTTACCAGGCTTGATCCATTTACGCAGATATGGATCCGATAAATTGGCTGGCACCGCATAATTTTGGATTTGCCTGTCTTTGGGATCAAGTCCTGTATACAAAATTATGGGCTTATTGCTAGGAAGAACGGTGGCTGAACCAGACCAACAGCCATTGATATCAAAGTGTTGTGATGGATAAAGTGCTGGTTCCAGTGCTTCCCAATTGATCATGTCCTTCGACACTGAATGGGCCCAAACAATATTGCCCCAAACTGCACCTTTGGGATTGTATTGGTAGAAGAAATGGTAAATTCCATTGTAGTACATAGGGGCTAGAAAACCAAAAAGTTGGAAAAATAAAAAATTAAATGAGGACCATAATTACATGGGAAAGGAAAGAATAATTAAGGTAGGATAATGTTAGGGAAACTGACCGTTTGGATCTGTTGTTGATTTGCCCATCATTGAAGAACGCCCAAAGAGGACAAAGAAAAACAGCAAGCTAATTAGTCACACAAGTATAAATAAGAAATTTTTTGAATCGATTTTGAACAGCCTTGTTATCATCCAAATCACAATTATGCAACCCCACTAAAATACACCAAACTTGGCCCCAAATAAGTACCTCTTCCTATAATCTTGCTCCACATAATAATTGTAAATTACCAAATAACATTAGTAAGTATAAACACGTTTTGCTTCTGTTTAAAATTAAGCATTAAAAAATGAAACATCCTTTGATGATATATATATACCTACTTGACAAAAATATAAATTACCAAAGAATCAGACTATAGCATTCGTCAAGTGAAGTTCTTAAAAGTGTAAATATGTGTGGTTCTACTTAAAAGCTATAGAAAACAAAATGTCAACATATACTCAGGAAGGACCACAACATTAAGAAGAGAAATTAATTATCAAAGTGGCTATGTATTACTTAAAAATTGAGTCTAAGTCACATCTCCTTTCATTCTCGTGCCTATATATAATCACATTTCACTTATAAGAGAACAAATGTCAAAAAAATTCTTGCCCCCACAATGCTTGAGTAATTATTCACCGTACTGCAAAAATTAATGCTCTTGTTACAGATGGTTGAACAAAGAACCTAAATTTATATATATTGATAATTAATACCTAATCAAATTTAGTGTTTTAAAATTTGGAAATTAAATCATCAGTTTTTAGTTTATGTATCCAAAAATATTAGAGTTCCCTTCTGTTGTAGTTTTGTTCGTTATACTGCGAATGCCTCTTTACAAAGTTAATGTGA